TGTAGTCACCTCCCGTCACTATTTTGTCTATTTGTTTATTACATATATAAATATATAAAAATAAATATTTCATTATTCTATATGTAATGTTGATATCTGTATGCTTTATTTTTTGCCATTTAAAAAAAGTCCATCATATATAACAAGTAAGTGATACAAGTTTTTGATTTTCAAAGCTCTGCCTTCATACAACAGATATATACATTCTTCAGTGTACAGAATCTATCTCATGAAATATCAAGAGCCAGATTTTGCCTTGGTAAATTTAAGGAGTTAAGGTGTCTATCAGTGTGTGTAAATTACTTCTGGCAGGCACATTACCTTACACACTCGTTGGAAATTTACCAATGTAATTTTGGTAAATTGGTATCTAAAGCCTAAATTCACATTCTATTAATTAACCTCCAACAACTCTTGGCTAAGCAACTATAAGCTGATTCTGAAAATAATTCTCTAAATCATATATGGTTTACATTTTATATGATCAACTAAATTTCTTTTAAACTTGAACAACTTGGTGTTAAAATGTGACCCTTTATATATTTGACATCTGTTGATAATACACACATTTTCAAGCTTATCCTCCAAGGTCTATTGATCTTTATAAGAAAAAAAAAAACTGCTTTAAAGTCAGGACTAGTATGAATGACAATTTATCAGTGATATTTTTGTGGATATTTCTCCTAATCTATGACTCTATTACCTGTTCCCAAATCACTAGATGCACAAGGTCCTCTAGCTCTATGATTATCTATTTAAGTAAACAAAATGCTCAGATGATAATAGATTACCTTACACACAAAAAAATCAAACTGCCAGCAACTAAATAATTTTCTGAACTGATTCAATGTCAAAACCTTAAGGGAACCATCCCAAGTGAAACCTACTTTGTTCAACTCATTTGATCGTAAAGAAATAAGTTTTAGGCTCTCAAAAAAATCAGGTAATGACTCCAAACCACTCATGAAAGAAAGAATATGATATGGAGGCACTCGAAAGCTACAACCGCTGGACGGTGTGGCAGCTTATGTAAACAAATTACTAGAAACATGACCTTGAAATTTGGACACTTTCTAAAGTTAGCATTTCTATGATTTCTTTGCTAAATCTCATACAATATATATTTTAAAAAAAACTAATTTAGTGTATTTCGTGTTGAGATTAAGTTAATCAGTTAATCAGAATTATTTTTTTCAATGGGGACCATACTTTATAAAGGTATCTTTCTTTCTTTTTTTTTCTCTCTCTCTCTTTTTTCAGATATAAAAGTAGTTAATAAATGGTTAATAAATGCATTAAATCATAAAGACAACTAATCTAAACCCAGAACTTATTAATATTCCATTTTTTTTTATATCCAATTGTGAAGAAATGGAGAACTGTGGATGGAAATATCAGTACAAAATTGTTATATGAGTATGATCCTAGCATGAATACAACATATGGGTTCAAATTTGAGAATTATATAAGTACATGTTTAAATCATTTAACAGCAAGAATTTCCAAAGCCGTTGAATTTTTCCATCCTCCAAAAGGGGGGGGATGGGGTACTGGTCACTGGGTGGTTAAATTTTTTAGATGGTTTGGGTTATAACAGATGTTTGGTAGTTTCCTCACTGTGTATGTATAACATGAGTGAGTTCACTCAAAAATTCCCTCTACCCCCACCTCCCCACTTTCATTTGGGAGGGTCCCCTTATGGCAACATTTCATCAGAAAGCTTTTACCAATGGATGTTTAAAAGACAGACAAATCTGCAATATAAAACTAAATGAAGGACGAGAATCACACCTACCCTTCGAAGCTAGGTTGTAAAGTAGGACTACTACCATCCAATCCTACTAGCCACAAAAGCTTGAAACAAAATTAACAAATTGAAGTTAGATATTTAATCAACAAATAAAACACTGTACAGAGAGAACAAATAAATAGTAAACCATATATAGGGTTACTCTTCAGACATTGTTGCCAAAGAAGTGAAGAGCAAAGAAAATATTAATTTATAATTCAAGTATGTATCAGAATTATATTTATTATAGTGACCTCTGTGTTGTTTAACCCATTGGCTCTGGGTGACATGACCATCATATTGTGAAAAAATAGGCTCAGGACCAGGTGACAGAAATATGAAATTATGAAAAAGGGACAGGGTGATAAGGAGGTGTTGTCATGAAAAATTCTGCTGAGGGCCTGAGCGAGAGGAATGACTAATGATGAGTGCACAAAGATCTTGGAGGATGATTAGACTCGGTGGTTATTTAAGATAGGGCTCTTGCATTATTTTCTATGGTAAAAGAGAAAAAAAAAGAATGTACCACCCACAAGCCATTCCTGGAAAAGAATTGCCTCCAAGGAGAACACATTTCTATGCTCAGGATCTTATTCCTGCCCAATATGACAAACAGCACCAGGCATCTTATAGAAATTAAATAATAGGAAAACAAAAAGAAATTCTAATATTACTTCATGTTATTGTTATTGCATGGAATTCTAGACTACC